CTCAATAACTTTATATTAAATGTGAATTTTGAAAATTCAACCGTTAGATTGAAAGTTCATATCTCTTAGATCATATATGTCAAATTTTATATTAATCTAAGATGATTTGATACTTCATTCTCATAAAACAAAAATTGACGTAATATATAAATTTCAAAATATACTAAAATATGAACACTTTGATTACCTTCAAGTTATTGTTCAATTTTAACAAAATTTAACATATATGATCTAAGATATATGAACTTTCAATCTAACGGTTGGATTTTCAAAATTCACATTTAATATAAAGTTATTGAGCGGTGTAACACTTAGTAAAAGTTACGGACCCTCCTCTATATATATATATGTATATCACTGTTAGTCAATAATATTAGTAGCTTGATAATGTCACACTCTAAGCTACCATTTGATAGTTGCATATTAGTGAGAGGTTGGAGTTCGCTAGATAATGTATATAATTTTATCAATAACAGGGATTGGATATTGGTTTTATCTTTTTGTCAAACATATTACAAGCCACTTGTTAATTAACCTTAGCTTTTTGACTTGTCTTATTATAACTTTCATGTTTATTTTGTGAAATATGAACTTAGGTTACCAAGTGTTTGATAGTGGGTTTATGCATCAGGCTGATCATGATCCAAAGCTAAAGAGTGTTCTCAAAAGCGCGTCTATGAATAATAAGACGGTGATAATCACAACTTTAAATGGTGCATGGGCTGAGCCAGGATACATATTTGACCTCTTTCTTGAGAGTTTTCAACTAGGAATCCAAACACAAAAACTTTTAAATCACTTGGTGGTAATAACATTGGACCAAAAGGCACATGCTCGTTGCCTTGCTTTGAACAAGCATTGTTACCAACTTGAAACTAAGGGTGACAATTTCACAAGTGAAGCATTTTTCATGACCCCAAAATACCTACACATGATGTGGAGAAGAACTGAATTCCTTGGTTCTGTCCTTGAAATGGGGTACAACTTTGTGTTCACGGTACATATATATTTCTTCTTTGCAAAATAGCTTCTTATTAAAATCTTCATATTGCATACACCCAACTACATAAGATAACAACAATTTAGATTCAAAGTTAAATACACAAATTTAATACATTGTCAATGTAATTATTTTTAATATATCGTCAATCGTTAAAAAATTGTATGGTAATTTTATTGATTTTTAAAATAGAATTAAATGTATTTTTGGTCCTTAATTTAAATATCATAGTTGTATTATTTTAATCTCTCAAGTTTTAACTAAGTGTTTAGTCATCTTTCAAATATTGTTATTATGTAAATTTCAATTTATTATATTACAAATCTAATGATTTTGTTATCAATGTAATATTAATGAATTGATATGACAAATGATTTGGTAAATGATGTAGATATTGATGTATTAATAACAAAACATGATGATGTCACTTGTGAAAAATAAAAAAAAATGAATTGTCAAAATATTTAAATAGGAATAAAATATAGAGCTCTTACTAACACATTTTGATCTTATTTAGTGATTAAGTATTATTGTTGAAGGTAAGAGTCGTGTATTTAAATCTTATTTTAAATATGTTGACGATTCTTTCTTTTATTTTTACATTTTATATATATCACCATCTCATACCACTGACACATCAATATTTGCAACATATTATTTATCATGTCACTTCATTATTAAAGGATGACTAAAAATGAATTTAAGTCTTTCAAATAACTATTTAAAAGTCAATTCAAGCACCACTTCTAATTAATTGATATTATTTTTACACTTTTGATACATAGAAATTAAATTCATTTACATACGGTATATTTTTTTTTTCTTTTTTTCAGGATACTGATATAATGTGGTTTAGAAATCCCTTCAAGCAATTTCACAAAGATGCAGATTTTCAAATAGCTTGCGATTCTTTTAATGGCAAATCCTATGACTTAAACAACCGGGCAAATGGAGGGTTTAAATATGTGAAATCAAATAAACGAACTATTTGGTTCTACAAGTTCTGGTTCAACTCTAGGAATGCCTACCCAAAATCGCATGATCAAGATGTGTTCGACAAGATCAAAAAGCACCCATTCATTTCCAACATGAAGTTGAAAATTAGGTTCCTTAGCACTAGTTATTTTGGAGGATTTTGTCAGCCTAGCAAGGACCTTAACAAGGTTTCAACAATGCATGCCAATTGTTGTGTTGGTTTAAACAACAAGGTCAATAATCTTATTATGTTGCTTAAAGATTGGAAGAAGTATATGGCATTGTCTGAAAATGAGAAAAAACAGTCGCATCTTTCTTGGAGCGTTCCACAAAATTGTTGGGATTAATGTAATGTAAATTACTTTTGTTCATCGATCATAGTTTTGGTTATTCAATAAATAAATTGATTTTTGTAGAAATAGTTTCTATATTTTAAAATATATAGAAGCTACTATGCAGAATTTGTGGTGCTTAAAGGCCATATTACGATGTTTTGAGTTAATTTCAGGTATGAAAATTAATTTTCACAAGAGTTGCGTGGTTGGCATTCACTCAGGGATAGATTTTATTGATTTGACGGCTTCTTTTTTGCATTGTAAGGTGGGTCAACTACCGTTTAAGCATTTGGGCTTACCTCTTGGTGCAAACCCTAGGAAGTTGGCTACTTGGAGACCAATACTTGATGGCTTACGTAAGCGTCTATCCTCTTGGAAGCATAGACATTTGTCCATTGGGGGGAGGGTGACCTTAATTAATTCAGTTTTGAATGCAATGCCCATCCATTTTCTGTCATTTTTTAAAGCACCGAACTCGGTGATTAAGGAAATTGTGGCCATCCAACGTGATTTCTTGTGGAGAGGTGTCAAGGATGGCTCAAAGATTCCTTGGGTAAAATGGGAAACGGTGTGTAAGTCAAAGGATGAGGGTGGACTAGGAATCAAGGATGTCAAATTGTTCAATTGGGCACTACTGGGGAAATGGGTGTGGAGGTGTATGTTATCTCCAGATATGATGTGGGCTAAGGTTCTTCATGGTAGGTATGGGCGCATTGAGTCCTTTTCTAAGTGCTCAAATGTGGATAGGAGGGCTTCTTGGTGGTGGAAGGATATAGTGTGGGTGCTACAACAAGGAAATTTTTGGTTGGATGAAAAGATTGAACGATGTATTGGCGATGGCACTACGACCCGATTTTGGGAGGATAAGTGGATAGGTGGTTTGCGCTTGTTGGATGTCTTTCCTCGTTTGTACTCCTTTGCCTTTGATCCGTTGTCAATGGTGGGGCATAATGGAACTTGGGAGGGATCTAGGTGGGTGTGGCAGGTTAATTGGAGAAGAGAACCTTTTGTCCATGAAGTAAGGAGCGTGAATACCTTGTTGGAAATGCTTCAGGGTCTGCAAATTTTCTCTTCTAAGCAAGATCATTGGAGATGGATTTGTGATAAGGATGGTGTATTCTCAGTGAAAAGTGCGTACCTTTGGCTGCAGCGCTCGCTGGGTGGAGAACTTAGTTATTCCTCAAATTTTCACCTAGTCATAAAAAGTCTTTGGAAATGTAAGGCTCCGATCAAGTGCTTGGTGTTCTGTTGGCAGGTGTTCATGAATGCATTCCCATGCAAATCATTGCTACAAGTACGTGGTGTGGAGTTGGATAACAATTTATGCTCTCTTTGCTCTCTGTCGAAGACCCTCTTCATCTCTTTCTAATGTGTCCAATGGCTTTTAATACTTGGTTAGCTGTTGCTAATTGGTTGGAGGTTGCGGTGGTCCTTCCAAATTCTTTAATTTCTCTCTACCTATATTGGACGAATCTTGGAATATAGAAAAAATGCTCTCAGTATTTTCAAGTGGTTTGGGTGTCTGTAATCTGGTCACTATGGCTCCATCGGAATGTTATTATCTTTCAGCAAGGTGTTATGGATTGCAAGGAAGTGTTGGACAGCATTAAAATGCGTTCATGGAAGTGGATTACTAGTTCTGTCCCCGGTTGTTCTTTTAATTACATTAGTTGGTATTATAATTCGGGTTTGTGTATCTCATAATTTTTGTTTTAGTTTTGAACTCTATTGTAACGGGTTGGAGTACCCCTTGTACTCCAAATAATTTAAATCTTGTTTGCTTATCAAAAAAAAAATTTAAAATATATTATAATTATTTAATACTACATGTATACTTCCTATATATGATACTCAATTATCTAATTCACCAAGATTAAGAAAAATAGTTAATTTAGTTAATAATAATAAATTTGTCTCATTTATATATTTTTTTCTAAAATTATTCTTATACTATTTCTCTTTCTTAATTAATACTCATATATCTTCTAATCAATTTGAGTTCATATCTTATATTATTTATTTCTCCTAAATATTTATCTTTCTCTTAACCAATTAGAGTATATATTTTTAAAGAATTTATAATTAATGTATTTTACTAATCTAACATAACACACTTTAATTAACAATATTTTAGTATAAAATAATTAATCAATATATAAAATAATTTTATAATTATCCGTCAATTTGAATTAATGAAATGAAGTATCAAATGATTTTTAACTTTTTTTACTCCCTCTGTTTTTTATTCATAGTCGTTTTGTCAGAATTTGTCGTTTTTTTTTCATTGTCATTTTACTAAAATCAATGACTTATTAATTTTTTTCTCATTTTTACAAGATATCTATTATCTAAAATTCTTTGCAAAAGTTTCTTTTTTAATATAAATGTTATTATAAAAATAAAACAAACTAATATAGAAATTAATCAATTTGCTAAAAAAAAATATAAAATCAATACTAATAACTACTACATTTTGCACATATAAAACTTGTCTTCAATAATTTCCTCTAATATTTATATATTATATCAATACAAATATATCAAAATTAAAGGGAAAAATTTAGGTTAAAATATTTTAATAATTATTAATGATTAATATATATATATATATATATATATATATGTTCAAAAGACACAAGGAAATGCATTTTCGAAAAGATCATATATCAGTTTAAATTATATATTTTTTATATTGACAACATGGTTGGGTACTATATCTAGTTAATCCCGTAACCAACATTATTTAATTATTGTAAAATAATCATGCATTTTTATATCTCTGAGGGAATCTCTACCTATCTGTGTATGTGTTTTCTGTATATTTTGCTATTAATTTTTGGACAAGAGAAAAGACAAGATATACTATAACATGATGAATAATCCATGGGAAATAGAATTTGTAATGTTTTGACTTCACATGCCACTATTTCCAACGTGCATCGTTGAAATGGCACTCTTATTTGCCACTGAAATCATTTACAACAAGATTGAAATCCAATTGTAAAATTATACAAACAAGTTGAAACTAAAATCACATCATCATTTAATTGTGATTCCATCATTGCTGCTCCCTTGTGAACAGACGGTCCAAATTCTTTAAGATGTAATGAATGGCCAAGACGAAGGAAATTATGGAGATCAACCAACGTAATCCAAAGAAAACACCACCAGTTAGTTCAGAAGTAGATGATCCCTCACTCACACCTTCATCCCTGCATTGCAAATGAAAAGCTCTTAAGGGCATTAGACAAATTTCTTTCTTATTCAGATTAATCAACGTAATACTTGGTCATTACCATTTATCAAAATACATGCAAAGAACAATACATGGACTGTCAGTGTAAAGGTGTTTTACACTATCATTTAAACATAGACAATCATGTATAATAAGTTATTGGTTTTTATAATAATTATTACAAGAGTTATATCAATGATGATTTAATTAGTTGATAGTGTAATACACCAATAATGTATGTATGTAAAACTTGATATTCATTCATGTTACTTATTTTTGCATTGATTTATATGCAAAGCTAGATTGATAATAAGATATTCATTTGGACTTGTAGCTCAATTTTTACATGCATTGAATTACTTGCCTTGGGGTTGGATGATCTTTAATTTTAAATGGCGGTGGTGCTGTTAAAAGGCTTTGAGAAGTTCCAGCTTTCCCATGTTCAGCAACTTTTTTAGGCCTTGCTTTCGTTGCTGGTCTTCTGGCTGGAGCTGAAGGTTTTGGCATTTGTGCAAGTTCTTGCGTTGTCTCACTAGGAATAGGTACCTTTTTTGCCTGCAATACAATAAATATTTTCCACAACTTCTCAACAATTGTTGAATTTAAAGTAGTTATTGTAAGAGCAGTGTCAATCAGTACAAGTAATACCAATCAAAAGCTATTAAATTGGTAATAAAGTTTATAGTGAAAAGTTATTTTCATATTATCTTGAATTTTTTATTGGTCGTACTCGTACCTATAGACACTATGAAGTATTGCTCCTAAATTTATGACAAAGGAAGGAACACCATTTAGCATACTTACCAAGTTCCTGAATTGAAGATTATAGAACATATGGATGTATCTTTCCTTTGCTAATTTTTGCTCCTTGTTCAACCTTCTCCAAAAGCCATAAATTGATCCCATATTCAACACTTTGGTTGCATATATCTTCCATGTATAGCTGCAAACACGATACTTATATTAAGAAATCCAACCATGAATGTTGTTACTTAAAACACGTACACTTGTTGGTTAAGAATTACCATTCATTGATGCGCTGAAGACCAGCTTTTGACATTGTGTTCCAATGCTCAGGATCAGTCTTGCACCTTTCAAAGAAGTCAGCAATCTTTTCACTTGATTCATCTCCATTATAAGGATCAATTTGAAAGCCTGAGACCCCATCAACTATAATTTCTGCTGGTCCTCCTTGATTTGTTGCAAAAGTAGGTAATCCACAGTTCATTGCTTCAATGACAGTGAGACCAAAGGCCTCATAGAATGCTGGCTGCACAAAAGCTCCCTTTGTATCTGAAATGCACCGGTACAGCTCGCTGTTTCGGTACCGATCAGTTTGAGCTGCAATCCATCTGAATTGTCCCTTGAGGTTGTACTCCTTCATCAAGAAATGCATCTTCTTGATCTCTTCAGTTTCTTCTCTATCTTTGGATTTGGCTGGATCAAAGAATCCTCCAACAACCACAAGGTTCACCAAGCTCCTCAGCCTCTTGTTTCTTGCATACCACTCAACTAGGCCACTAAGGTTCTTCACTTTGTCAAGCCTAGCCATGGAGAATATTATTGGTTTCTTCATGTCTTCCAAAACTCCTCTGATTCAAAGAATATTAGTTTGACTTAGGCCATTTCAATGAAATGAGACACTTCCTTTACTATAAAGTGGAATGAGACTCACATGTGTTCTTCATTGTCATCCTTGCTATAAAGTAGTTCTTGGATGGCCGGATGAAATGTGGACAATCGCTGCTCTTTTTCTGTGGAAGGGAAGTAGACAGAT